CAGCCTGGGGGGCAGTCCCACACATGTATGGCCCCTGGGAGGGATGTCCTTCCCCCACCAGGCTGGGCACAAGGGCGCACACAACCCCACACAGACCGACAAGTGTCACACATAGCACATGGCCATGCCTACATTCACGAGGCACCACCCACTCCCGCAGACAGTGCTACCAGGTGCGGGGGGCAAGAGGGGGAGAAGGCCACTCCAGGCCCCTATCCCACCCATGGGAGCCCACTCTGACCAGACACTTCTCTGGCCTGCTTGTACATGAGGAGGGGGAAACAAGCAGGATGGTCCCCTGGGCACCTCAGGGCCCTTGTGAGACTGGGCCTGCTGTGCCCCCTTGCTCTCGAGACATCACCATCCCCTGATCCAAGGACAATTGATTGCCCCTCCACAGTTCAGGAATCCAAGGGCACCAAATCCAGCCACAACACCCCTGGGCACCTCAGGGCCCTTGTGAGACTGGGCCTGCTGTGCCCCCTTGCTCTCGAGACATCACCATCCCCTGATCCAAGGACAATTGATTGCCCCTCCACAGTTCAGGAATCCAAGGGCACCAAATCCAGCCACAACAGAGTCCAGGTCTCCGAGGTGGATGATCCTGCACAGCAGGACAGAGATAATGGCCCTCACCACCTGCAGAAGGAGACATAGAAACACACAAAACAGAGAATGAGAGGGGTGTCTAAGCCCTTGCGAGGTGCCCACCCGCCTCTCTTCCCCCACAAAGACACCAGGAGCCACCGCCTATGAGGGTTCCCCCCCAGCAGCATGGCTGTGTGAGGGCAGGACAGCATAACCTCCTGCCCCGGGAACAGGCCTTGCCCCTCCCCCACACTCCCTCCCCTTTCCCAAGAGTCCCCCTTTTCCAGCCTTGCCCTGCCCCCTGCAGGGAGTGTATCCTGAGAGTGCCTTACCTCCATAAAGATGACCCTGATGACCTTCCCCATGCTGAACTGGTGTCCCACCGAGCAGTAGCTGTTGGGTGTGGTGAGCTTCCACATGGCAATTGCAACCCTCTTCTCCAGGGGGATGGCAGGTCACAGGTGCGTGTTGCATCTCCAGAGGGTAGGAGCGAGCCAGGCACACAGCTCCAAGAAGGTGGCCTTCCACATACAGAAGTTTTGGAGTCACTGCTGGTGGTCCCATCGCTCCATCACCAGGCTGTCCCACCAGTCAGAACTGATGTCCAGCCTCCAAAATCGCCTCTCGACCGCAATGTACTGGGGCAAGGGCATTGCTCCCGCATCCAGGCAGAGGGACTCACAGATGAGCTGGGAATCAGGCTGGGGCAGGACCGTCAAGACAATCTGCTGAAATTGCTGCATAATTGCTCCATCGCCAAAAACAAAATATTGCTGTGGCGTCCAGCCAAGCAGGGCAACCAGAGCGCACGCTGCGAAAGCTTTGCTGTACCTCAGAGAGGAAGGCAAGCAAGAAGCAGAACCTGAGAAACAGCTGTCCAAAGGGGGTCTCTTTAAGCACATGACTCAGATAGCCACGTCTCAGATAGCCTTAGGCAACAGCACCCAGAAGTAACTGCTGACCTAATGCCCTGGCTGAAGTGGTTCTGGGTGGCCTCTTATGCAAGACAGCTCCCAATCAGTGTGGACGCTCTCTTTCAAAAAAGCAGATCGCTTTTTCGATCCACTTTTGAAGTGTGGACACTCTCTTTTGAAAGGAGATTTTTCAGAAGATCTCTTCAAAAAAAGCTTCTTTTGAAAGAAGCTTTCAGTCTAGATGTACCCTTATAGGCTATGTCTACAGTGTACACTTATTTTGGAATAATTCTGAAATAGCTTATTTTAAAATAACACTACAGGGGAGCCTCAAAATTAGTCCGAGGGCTATTTTGAAATAGCGGAAGTGGGGTGTCTACACATGCCTTGTTTTGAACTAGCTATTTCAGAACAGGCGTTATTCTTCATGTAATGAAGTTTACAGAAGTTGGAATAAGCAGTCAGTTATTTTGAAATTATTTCAAAATAACAGAATTGCTGTGTAGGTGCTCGCATAGTTATTTTGGAATAGTGCCCAATGTCTGTGACACTGTAACGCTGAAATGCTGGCTGTTCCCTCTGGGCAGTGCTGTTGCCTGAGTCACATCCTTCGCCTCCTGCCGTGGTACTCGGCTGACTTCTGCACCGCTCAGCCGGGCCGCCACGGGGGAGCAAGTAGTGCAAGCGGCCATTTGGGCTCCGTGGTCCCCATGGAGCACAGAGGTGCCACGGTGGGAGGCAAAGGAGGGTGGGGCAGTGATGTGCGGCATGACAGAGGCTCCAGGCCCTGCCCCCCGGCCGTGAACGTCACCGCCCCCCCCTTCGCCTCCTGCCATGATGCTCGGCTGATGTCTGCGCTGCTCAGCCGGGCCGCTGCGTGGAAGCAAGTGGCGCAAGCAACCATTTGGGCTCCGCGCTCCCCCGAGTGAGAGGCAGAAGGGGGAGGAAAAGAGAAAGAGAGAATGAGAGGCAGGAGGGGGAGGAGAAGAGAAAGAGAGAGACAGAGAGAGAAGCAGGAGGGGGAGGAGAGCTGAGAGGTGGGAGGAATAGGAGGAGGAGAGAGAGAGAGAGAGAGAGAGAGAGAGAGAGAGACCAGAGGCTCAGGGGAGAAGACCGACGTGGAGGAGAGACCTGAAAATCCCGTCGTGACGGGCTAATTGGCTAGTTTTGGAACAGCCATTATCCTGAAATAACTTTGCCATGTAGACACACCCATACTGACCTGCTGACCTCTGATGGGCTGCTTTGCACACAGCCACTCTAGGTGGCTTGGAGGACCTTTCTGCTGCCCTTTTCTGGGAAAGGGTGTGTCAGAATCTCATAGCCTCCACTAGGGGTCCTCACAGCCTAGTTCATCCCATCATTATAAACCATGGATGTCTTGGAGGAATGACAGCTGCCCCGCTTGGAGAAGGTCCCAAATATTTCCTAGTCGTTGTTTTTCAGCTAAGAGATTGAAACCAGGATCCTAGATTTCTCTTCTTGCTTCTCATGCACTAGCTGCTGTTTTGGGATTTTCAACTGCTGAGAAATATATAAAAAGATTCAAACAGGCAGTCAATGTCTGAAAGTCTATAAATCCCATGAACAACCCCTGAGTCATTCAGTCCCTCCTATTTTCATTGATATTAACATCTGAAGGTTTGTCCAGATCTTTCCCTGGAGTACTTTTCTCCTAGAAGCATAGTGTATTTCACTTAGTGAGTTAATTCTATTGTAAGCCTTACTAATAAAGCTTTTAGCTATCCTGATTCAGTGTAAATGTCCCTCTGGAGATTAGAGGTCAGGATAGATAACGGTAGAGTCGACTGTCAAGCTTATAAGACTTTTATTGTGTAAGAATCCATAAAACTGATCCTTATCAAAAACAAATGTTCAGGACAGATAAGAGAAAGTGGGAGAAAACATGTCATTATTCGGAAACCACTGCTAGATTCTGATTCATTTCCATGAATTAACAAAAGCCCCCTTTTTAGAAGCAAATTTGGCAAAGTCATTATAGCAGTCCTCCCAACTTGGGCTGTAGTCAAGGTTTGAATCCAGACCCCACCAATCTAAAATCATGAAATTTTATAAGTTCAAATAGAAATTCCTTTAGATAAAGGTAACTCAGCTTCTTACATGGATCAGACATTATATGGGGACCAAGATCCATATTCTCTATATGCAGGCTGGATCAATTAAGCCTGTAGTAATGGTTTATTATGTATTTCAGCTGAAATGGTTAAAGTCTGGCAAAGGAATGTTTTAATGCATTCTAGCCACGGAGTGGTATGGTAAAACGCATCAGCCATTATTACGGAGTCTAGAAGAAGCTAAAGGATAAAGCTAATAAAGCAATTGAAACAGCAATCCATTGTGTGGCCGGCAGCCAAGAAATAGAGTAAAAAGTTATGCTGTCAATGGGGCAGTGAGGTGGAACGTGATTCCTTTCCCTGACACAAGCAGTCAGAGGCCAAAAATTCCTGGCATGCTAGAGGGAGATGGAATGTTTAGGGACCAACCACACTGAAATAAAACACCTGTGGCCTGGCCCCTGCCAGACTGGGTCCAGCATGATTTTTGTTAGCTGGATGCCCACTTATAATGAGGAGAAGAGAAAGAGAGAGACAGAGAGAGGCAGGAGGTGGAGGAGAGCTGAGACGGGGGAGGCAGCAGGAGGAGGAGGAGAGAGAGAGAGAGAGAGATATGAAGCGAGAGACCAGAGGCTCAGGAAAGAAGACCGACGTGGGGGCTGAAGTGGGGGCGGGGTAGAGGGGGAAGAAGTGAAATACCACCAGCGTCGGCAGAAGAGGCACTAACGTCCGCTTCTGGGTGGAGAGGCCTGCTGCCCTTGCCCTGACCCCAGACACCGGAGTTTGAGCCGGCCTCCAGCCCGTCGCCCCAGGAGGCAGGGAGACTGGCTATTCACACGGCCCAGCCCCACTGGAGCCGGAACCTTCAAGCCTCCCCGCTGTGGTGGGAGGTTTGCCCAACCCCGGACGCCTTCAGGACTTGGGATCAGGGATTGCGCTGGTCCGAGCCCCCAACCCTCGCTGAGTTGTTCCCCCCGGACCAAATGTTGGGCCCAGAGGGGGCACAGGACCCATCCCTGAAGCCAGAGCCAGAGACCACAATGGTGAACACAGACCCTTCAGGGTGGGATACTGATGACCCCCTGGGTTGGATCTGGCAGCCGCGGGACAAACCTCAGCCTCAGTGTGTACTATGCCCACGGCACCCGAGCCTGCGAAGGAGGAACTAGCCACAGGACCACGAAGGGTAGGCTCCCAGCATCAGTAGGAAGTGGCCCAGGGCACGAGACCTGCCCAAGAGGTCGGTGAGTTTCGGGGTCTTCCCCCGCCAACCCGGTAGTGGAGTAGTTCCCTACCTGTAGGGCCCTGGGCTGGGACCCGGTGGAGCTGGAGGGCCTGGGTCCCCCTACTTTCCCCAGGGGTGGAAGGGCCCTCATTCCCCTCCTCAGGGGTCTCATAGGAGTGGCCAGATTGTAGACTCTTGTCATAAACCCGTATCCCCCTTTGTACTGGAGGGTCGGACTGTGGACCCTGGTCGTAAGACCCCATACCCGCTCTGGGATTTGAGGGCCGGGTTGTGGACCCTGGTTGTAAGACCCCATACCCGCTCTGGGATTTGAGGGCCGGGTTGTGGACCCTGGTTGTAAGACCCCATACCCGCTCTGGGATTTGAGGGCCGGGTTGTGGACCCTGGTTGTAAGACCCCATACCCGCTCTGGGATTTGAGGGCCGGGTTGTGGACCCTGGTTGTAAGACCCCATACCCGCTCTGGGATTTGAGGGCCGGGTTGTGGACCCTGGTTGTAAGACCCCATACCCGCTCTGGGATTTGAGGGCCGGGTTGTGGACCCTGGTTGTAAGACCCCATACCCGCTCTGGGATTTGAGGGCCGGGTTGTGGACCCTGGTTGTAAGACCCCATACCCGCTCTGGGATTTGAGGGCCGGGTTGTGGACCCTGGTTGTAAGACCCCATACCCGCTCTGGGATTTGAGGGCCGGGTTGTGGACCCTGGTTGTAAGACCCCATACCCGCTCTGGGATTTGAGGGCCGGGTTGTGGACCCTGGTTGTAAGACCCCATACCCGCTCTGGGATTTGAGGGCCGGGTTGTGGACCCTGGTTGTAAGACCCCATACCCGCTCTGGGATTTGAGGGCCGGGTTGTGGACCCTGGTTGTAAGACCCCATACCCGCTCTGGGATTTGAGGGCCGGGTTGTGGACCCTGGTTGTAAGACCCCATACCCGCTCTGGGATTTGAGGGCCGGGTTGTGGACCCTGGTTGTAAGACCCCATACCCGCTCTGGGATTTGAGGGCCGGGTTGTGGACCCTGGTTGTAAGACCCCATACCCGCTCTGGGATTTGAGGGCCGGGTTGTGGACCCTGGTTGTAAGACCCCATACCCGCTCTGGGATTTGAGGGCCGGGTTGTGGACCCTGGTTGTAAGACCCCATACCCGCTCTGGGATTTGAGGGCCGGGTTGTGGACCCTGGTTGTAAGACCCCATACCCGCTCTGGGATTTGAGGGCCGGGTTGTGGACCCTGGTTGTAAGACCCCATACCCGCTCTGGGATTTGAGGGCCGGGTTGTGGACCCTGGTTGTAAGACCCCATACCCGCTCTGGGATTTGAGGGCCGGGTTGTGGACCCTGGTTGTAAGACCCCATACCCGCTCTGGGATTTGAGGGCCGGGTTGTGGACCCTGGTTGTAAGACCCCATACCCGCTCTGGGATTTGAGGGCCGGGTTGTGGACCCTGGTTGTAAGACCCCATACCCGCTCTGGTATTTGAGGGCCGGGTTGTGGACCCTAGACTGTAGATCATATATCCCCTGTGCGTAGCCCCTAAGCGGTGAGCGGGACAGAAAGGGGCCGAGAAACTATTAAAACCTGAGGGATGGGGACCGCCTGAAGGGCGTTGGTCACCAATTCACAGGCATACGCCTAGTTCGAATTAAGTCGTTCCAATTAAGGGCTGTGTAGCAACTTAATTCGAACTAGCCAAACCAGGAAAACTCCTCTCCTCTCCCCAGCCCCGGGGCCCTTACAGGGGTAGACTCTGGTTCCATGCTGCAGAGTGCCGGGGTGTCCCAAGTGAGGGCAAGCAGAGCACTCCGAGACACGAATGCTTTCCTGTCCCTTAGCAAGGTGGACCAGCAAGCAGAGAAACCTGAGAACTGTCTGTCTGGGATGGGGGGTCAGGTCCCTTTGAGCACAGCCCTCCGCTAGCCTGACGCAGCAGCCCCACACACTAAGTCCAACCCTGATGCCCTTTCAGCACTGGTTCCGGCCAGCCTTCCCTTCGATTCAGGGTCCACTCAATGTGAACGTGCTATTTTGAATTAGCAAAACACTAATTCAAATTAGTTTTTGGGACTAGATGTGTTATTTCAAATTAGCTTATTGCTAAATAAATTAGTTTGTATTAGCACTGTAGGGTAGACATATCCTGAGAGCCCTCCTAACATAATCCATACTACCTTAACTTGCTGGCAAGAATATTGCAGGATACCTATCAAAAGCTTTGCTAAAGTCAAGTTATATCATATCCACTGACTTTCCCATATCCACAGAAGATTTTCCCATATCCAGTTACCTCATCATAGAAGCTAATCAGTCTACGTCTAGACGGCTTTCTTCTGACAAAAGAAGATATGCAAATTCAGAGCACATTTGCATATCTTCTTCCGATTGCATTATCAGAAGAGGTTTTGTCAAAAAAGAAAGCAATTTAGACACAGATCTTTTGGGGGGAAAAGCCTTTTTCGAAAGAACCCTGCACACCTCATTTTTTTAGGAAGAAGGGTTCTTTCAAAAAAGGGTTGTTTTTTTTCAAAAGAACCACATCTAAACTTCTTTCTTTTCGACAAAATCTCTTCCAATAATGCAATCAGAAGATGATATGCAAATTAGCTCTGAATTTGCATATCTTCAGTCAGTAGAAAAAAGCAGTCTATGTAGCCTCAGACTGATCTGGCACGACTTGCCCTTCGTGAATCCATGTTGACTATTACTGATCACTTTCCCCTCTTCCAAGTGCTTCAAAATGGATTCCTTGAGGATCCCCTTCATGATTTTTCCGGGGACTGAGATAAGGCTGACTGGTCTGTAGTTCCCTGGATCGTCCTTCTTCCCTTTTTTAAAGATGGGCACTACATTTGCCTTTTTCCAATCGTCCGGGACCTCTCCCAATCTCCACAAGTTTTCAAAGATAATGGCCAAAGGCTCTGCAATGACATTGGCCAACTCCCTCAGTACCCTCAGATGCATTAAATCCGGACCCATGTATTTGTGTATGTCTAGCTATTCTAAATAGTTCCTAACCTGTTCTTTACCCACCAAGGCTGTCCACCTCCTTCCCATACTGCATCGTCTAAAGCAGTAGCCTGGGAGCTGACCTCATCTGTGAAGACAGAGGCAAAGAAAGCACTGAGTACTTCAGCTTTTCCCACATCATCTGTCACTAGGTTACCTCCCTCATCCAGTAAGGGCCCCACACCCTCTCTGATCACCCTCTTATTGCTAAAATGTCAGTAGAAATTCATGTTGCCTGTCTATACAGGCCTCTTGCACAAGAACAGTTGCGCAAAAGGGCTTATTCCTGAGTGGGAGCATCATAGTTCTTGCGCAAGAAGCCCTGATTTTATACAGTAGAACATCAGTTTACTTGCACAAGAACACACAGTGGGCCTACGTCTAGACTGGCATGATTTTCCGGAAATGCTTTTAACGGAAAAGTTTTCTGTTAAAAGCATTTTCGGAAAAGAGTGCCTAGATTGGCGCGGAGTTCGCGTTATAATGATGCGCTTTTGCGGAAAAGCGTCCATGCCAATCTAGACACGCTTTTCCACAAAAAAGCCCCGATCGCCATTTTTGCAATCAGGGCTTTTTTGCGGAAAACAAATCTCAGCTGTCTACACTGGCCCTTTTGCGCCAAAGTTTGGCGCAAAAGGGACTTTTGCCCAAACAGGAGCAGCATAGTATTTCTGCAAAAAGCACTGATTTCTTACAGTAGGAAGTCAGTGCTTTTGCGGAAATTCAAGCAGCCAGGCTGTGTCTATACTGGGCCACTTATTACGGAAAATCAGCCGCTTTTACGGAATAAACTGCAAGCTGTCTACACTGGCCCTTGAATTTCTGGAAAAGCAATGACGCTCTACAGTACAAAATCAGCCGCTATTCCGGAAAAGCTATACTGCTCCCGCTCAGGCATAAGTCCTTATTCCGGAACACTGTTCCAGAAAAGGGCCAGTGTAGACAGCCCTGTAGTCTTTTCTGGAAAAAAAGCCCCGATCGCGAAAATGACGATCGGGGCTCTTTTCCGGAAAAGCACGTCTACATTGGCCACAGATGCTTTTCCGGAAAAAGGGCTTTT